TCTCCTATACCAAACACCGCCTTAAAGAAATGTGGTATAAAACTGTTCCTTAATTTGGCATTAATAGTTTCATTGTGTGCTCCTAAATCTGAAGCCCAATTTGAATACCATGACACATCTTATCAGCTCAGTGCACGTGCTGTGCAGGTGAAAGCATTTCAGCCCCCTCAGCAGTCCCGTCCCCTTATATTGATAAGTTGAGATTGACTAATCAAAACATATATAAATTTAATGAGATATATTGATCTCACGTTGTTGCATGAGATAATTATCCCATGCAACAGAGACAAGATAGTGAGATTTATCATTTGTAAAAAAAAATAAAAATAATTTGGACCCTACTTCTCTGTCTCTTGTACGAGATAATTATCTCATGCAACATGAGATAATTATTTCCCAAATTTAATTCATAAATAGACATTACATGTTTTAAAGTCCTGCGGGCGGAACTGATTCAACAAGGAACTGATTCAACAAGGTACAAGAGTGCTTGGGGCAAATAGGTTTCATGGAAAAAGAATTTCAGAGTATTGACTTTGGTGATGGTGTGTATAATATTCTTTTTAATAAAAATAATAGCTTGAAATAGAAAGAGAACTTAGCATTAAAAAATTTAAGCTTAAATAATAATCCTTGATTTGCCAAGAACAATACTTGATGGCCTTCATGTAGAAAATTATTACCTGAAACCAATATTTTCTCTTAATCAATTCACTAAGCAACCTCACATTTGTCTATGATTTTGGCAAAAACAAATACTTCTTCTAGTATTTTATATTATTTTTAGTTGACATTTTCCTACTAATCTTCAAGGATTAGAAGGCGATGGATGCCATATGTGGGTGTGAAACTAGAAAGCAGAATATAATGCGTATGATCTCGTGCCTTGAAATTTTGTAAAGAAATTACGAAGTTGTGATATTCCAACATATTTCTTTCTTTCCAAAGTCAATTTTATCCAAGTTGAGAACAATACTAAAAAAAGAAAGAAAGTATTTTCAACTATATCAGCCATGTAGAGATAACTTACGTTCGCAAGTTAGGTTCATATGACTGTAATTATTCTATAGATGTTCCTCCCTCTTGAAAACGATTTACGAGATTCAACTTGTCATAAAGTTATATTTCAAAATCAAGCAATATCATTATCTAGTATTTATTATTTGGCTTGATTAAGAAGACTCGTGCAAATATAATTTAATATCTCCATCGAAATCATTAAGGGAGAATGTTACCTCTCCAAGTTAACAAGGGATTACAATGGGTTAAAAAAATAAATAAGAAACCCACAATCAAGTTACAACTTGTTAGCCATAAAAATGTTCTTAAAAAAAGGTGGAAGTACAAAAAAAAAAAAAAAAAAGCTTTTTAAGAAAAGGAAAAAAAAGGCGCGTAAAAAAACTAGCTTATTATTTTTTTTATATCGATCATAATTATCTTTTTAAGAAAAAATTGGCTTCTGAATATTCTCACAAATTTTAATTCTTTAAATTGACCATGAGACTAATCCCAAATTGAGATTTAATTTATATTTAGTGCTACTGTAATATTTAGTCATCAATACTACTATGACGTACTAAAATTATATTAGGGCCTGTTTGGTGTGATGTATAAGGCTTGATAGTATAAGCTTGTTTGGTTTGACCATTGTATAATATAAGTTTATACAGTAGGATCACTTTATACATCAAAATGATGTATAACTTAATTAGGCATAGGAGACTAGGATTAGGCCTGATAAAGGGTTAATGTATTAACCAATTCAATTCTCAAGAATTAATATATTATTTTAATATTCATATATTAAAATAAAAAATAAATTTTCAATATATGAATTTTTAAAATATTGGAGATTTTTATTTTTATAAAAATTAATATATTTTGTAGACACATTGATCCACAAATCTATAAAAATAATATCATCTTATATATTTGGAAGAATTATATAAGTTCATTATTAAAAGGTAATTTTGTCAAAAATATTTATTTTTTATTTTTGGTGAAAAAAATATTTATTTTTATCCTATCTAGTGTTATACACAGTGCATTACCAAACAGTAGATGATGTTATCTTATACAATATATTATCTTATACAATATCATGCCAAATGTAACACCCCGTATATATCCGGTAATGTTATCATATCATCGTATTAAGCTGCACTTAATTAAATGTGCGGAATATCTTTTTCTTTTCATTTATGACGTCATTATCATTACCAATAAATCATTTAAATAAAACCATGCCTGTATGTAAATTGCAAAATACAGCTAACTGAATACCTCATTAATTAAATAAACAGATATAATTCTCTAGTCACAGAACTACAACATGTAAACCGGACAACCTACTAAGTTATACAACTCAACTCAAGGTACTAACATAAAGTGGTAAGGACAAACCCCATGCTCACCCAAATAAGGCACAAGCCCAACAGAAGTCTCAACATCAACAACATAATAAAAGCAACTAAAAACATAACATCAGAAGAATATCCAGCATCCAACATGTCAGCATAATAAACAACAATAATCATCAACTAAGCTCTGACATCCTGCTGCCAGAGGCATCGGCCCCCATAATACCTGAACCTGAAATAAGCGCCCCCAAACGTGGGGTGAGATCTCTAAAAAGAAATCTCAGTAAGACAAGGGATCATCAAGGATCTTCACCCCAAGCTCACTTACATGTGCAATATAAGTTCTAAAAGCAGTATTTCAATATTAGTTCCAAAATCAGTGCAATGCAACAGATATTCATGTCATGTGTGTTATAACTACTCTACTGATCAGAGAAATGCAGGAATACGTCTATTATCCACATAATATCAGCCCATGTTGTACCCGTCCACAGGAATACCCCATGGCTTCCTGTTTAGACGGAACACCACATACATATCATATAGCATTTGCACTTAACAGTTCAATAGCATTTCAGCAAATCAATACATGAAAACACATCATGCATATAAACCATCCACCCATGGGACATGGTGGAACAAACAATGGCTAAACCGAGGACACGAAAGCTTACCGTGCAAGCTAGCTATCCAAGCCAAGAGTCCACAATACTTCAGAGTCCACAAACAGCAAGATCACAATCTGTTTGGACCAACAATATATCAATAATCATACTCTACAAGCATACAACTTAAAGACAACTCCTTTCCTTTACGTTTTACGTCTTAAGGCTTCACACAAAGCCACAAGCCCTTAATCACTTGATTCTGACTTAGTTTAATTAATACAGAAGTTCCACTTATTTAAGCTAGGGTCCACAAACCCCCAATAGCCTACTGTATGAACAGTGCAGCTACTATTTCTCGAAAACCCAGAATATCCGGATATATGTCGGGGACATATCCGGATATCACAGAACCCCATATCCGGATATCAATATTCGGATATCACTGATCCCCATATCCGGATATCAATATCCGAATATCAATATCCGGATATCACATAACACATATCCGGATATCCATATCCGGATATTTCGCGACAGAATGCAGTTCTGCATTTCGCGAGATATCTTTCCCAAAGGTGGTTCATTTCAAGCATACAGAAGCTTAGACATACGATTTAAGGTGTGTTTAACATTACCCAACCTCTAGTTATGACCTTAAGTTCATTACATGCATCAAGGTTCCATTTTTAAGCATAAAACAGAAAAGAAAGGTGCTCTTGGAGCTCACAAGTCAGCTCCAAGGTACTGACTTCAAGGGTGCACGAAAATGCACTTCAAGGTAGGTCCTTTCTTCACAAAGATCATCACTTGAAGCTCCCACAACCAAGACAAAGCTCCATCAAAGGAAAACTCAGAACACAACCCTATGAACCCCCTTAAAACAGAAACTCCACTCAGCTACAAGGTCACAACCCACTCCCAAAGATGATTCTCACTCACACCAAGTGTTTAGGAGAAGATTTCATGAAGAAAGGTGACAACTTGGCTCACAAGAGGTGGAGGAGAGGTGTTGGCAAGGTGGCTGGTTGCAACTCAAAAAAATCTCACGTAGCAAGTCAATAAAATGACCTATGATCATGTGCCATGGCCTTATATAGGCCACTTAAGTTTTTAATCGCGCAGTATTAGCATTAATTGCTACGCTTAACATTTTAATCCCAAACTTTGGAATCTGATCTGCTCATTTTTCTAAGATTTATCATATTTTTATATTATTTTTGCAGCACCTTTCCGGTACGCGCTTTTCATAGGCAGTATCAGTTTAAAATTTGATCAAGTCTTATACAATCATTATACTATCAGGTCTTATCCTATACTGTATACCAAACATGCCCTTAAATATGTTGTCTGTAGTAAAATTATTTTTCTCTTTTTTCAAGAGCGAACATAATAATAAAATATATGAAAAAAAATATTTATCATTTTAAATGATAAAATGATGTAATTTTTGTATATATTTAATAAGTTTTTACTTTCTCTCTTGTCCACAAAATTAAAAAAAGAAAAAAATGAAGGAAATAAAATATAAAAAAATATTAATTATACATCAAAATGATACCATTTAATCTAAAATAATACAATAGATCATTTAAAATAACAAACACTTTTTCTAGCAGTGTCTTTTATTTTTCAGTACCAAAATAATACTATAGCAAGATATAGCAACTTTTGAGTACGACTATAGCACCTGAAAATATTTTCGTCAAAATCAAGGGAAGGCAAAAAAATAAAAAATGAAAAAAATTGAGAAACAAAAGTGGCTAAGTAATGATCCAATGGACATTTGGATTCCAGGGAACTACGTGTAAGTTTGCATGAAAATGTCAATAGTAAAAGTTCAAAACAAGGTGAAGACTTTTTGGTCATTTCACCCAATAGGATGAGGGGGTAAAGTGGGGCTACACAAAGAAGTCATGGCTGGTTTTCCATTCCACATAACTCCTCTTCAACTCAAAAGTGGTTTTTATAAATAAATAAAGACAGTTTCTCCCGATCTTAAGTGGTTTTTTCAGGGAGAGAGAGAGGATATCCTGGGAGAACCGCTTTATCTTAAAAAAAAAAAAAAAAAAAGATGAGAGAGAAAGGTAGAGAGACTTCAAAAAAGAAAAAGAAGCTTAGTCTTTTATTTCTTAGCATTCAATTCTATTTTCTCTCTTCATTATCACTCTCTAGCTATTTGATTATAAGTTTATAAACCGACTCTATGCTCCTCTCTCTCCCTCTCTCTCTCTGTCTCTCTCTCTCTCTCTTTGCGTGGATTAAGGAAATGATTTTAAGTGGGAAAAACAGAAGACGGTTTCACCATTAATGGGGTTTTCAATAGCTATAGGAGAAGCTGAACAACAAGAGCAAGAGACAAAGTTTTTAGGTTCTTCTTTGATCATGGCTTCGAGTGTTAAGAGCACCAACTCAACAACTACTCAACTTGAACCACCCGCACCACTCTCACATCTTCATCATCATCTTCATCACCATCATCAACAACCACAACATCATCATCAAATACAAGACAACCAAATCTCTTTTGGAATGATGCCATTTTCTTCATCGCCCTCTATCCCCGGAAACTACTTGTGAGTTTGTAATAAGAGAATCACTTTAGTGTACTTTCTGCAAAACTATTTACTAAATGATCACCCGTTTTTTTTATGAGAATAATTAAAGAACTAGTTATATATTATTTTACCATTATTATTATTATTACTTTTTCTTCTACTATTTTTATTTTCTCTTTTGATTTTACATTTGTTTGTATCAACAGAAGCAAAGATTCTGGACCTTATGATTTGGGTGAATTGGATCAAGCCTTTTTTTTGTATCTTGATGGACAAGCTGACCCTTCAAGTGTTCAAGACCAAAAACGTGAGCTTTCTAACACTGACAGAGAAAAACACAAATAAATTTTTTTCTCTTTGCTTCCATTTCAAATTCAGAAAGAGGAACACTTACACTTTTGCTTTTCATTTCATTTTGAGAGATTCTCTGAGGTCCTGGTTTGTTTGAGTCACAGCAAAAGCATGAAGCAGATTCATATCATATCTGCCGTAGAGTACTTTCTTTGACCAGATCTTTGCAGATAAGTAAAAGAAAGCTAAAGGGTGGAGAAAAAAAATTGAAAATTTTATAATCTCTCTCTCGTCCTCTTTTTCTCTCTCCATTTTTTTCTTTTCTTTATGTTTTAGGTTTCTTGTTTTATTGCAAGGTGATGTGAGATCATGACATGTAACAAACCTGGTGTCATGACCTTCTTGCCAATTCCACATGTACTGAAAATGGTTATGCATAGGGCATGGGTGCTTTCTGCCTTTCCTTTATTCCACTTTCCACCTTTTTCCTTTTGGATTTCAGAGTTACAAAAATGAATGACAATTTCCCACACTTATTAACTCTATTTGCCTCACACATCTCTTGCTTCTCCTTTGTGTTGTTCTGTAATCATTCTGTCCCTTAAAAAACATATCTTATTTTACCCTTTCATTTCTCACAATTTCTCTGGGATTACACACATATATGTGTATATAACATATTTTCATATAATTAATTAAATGCTTCTGAATTCTGTGCATGTATGCTTCTCAGCAGAGGATTCATCTTCAGGAATGAGGCCACCACCAACTCTCAACATTTTCCCATCTCAGCCTATGCACGTAGAGCCGCCACCACCATCCAATTCCAAGGTATAATTATATATATCTCACGGTCAATTGTATAAGATATTATATAATCTTATATTGTTATATGTGTTAGCTAGCTGCTAATAGTTAAATAACATTTAATATATTTATTTTTTTCTTTTTTATTTGATAGGCTAGCATGGAATTACCTTCTCCACAAACCAGTTCTAAGAGACCATCAGAGCCGTCCATAGAGTTGGCCAACCCACGAAATGAAGCAGCTTCTGCACCTGAACAACCCAAACCTGTAAAGGTAATTTATATTTATATATTTATATATAATATACAGTGAATAAATAAAATAAACCACCTCCATTAAATCTCGATCAGTGAGGGAGGAGATCTTTATACGTAGTCTTGTCCTTACATAACATAATTATTGTTTCCGAAATTTAAACCTTTGTTCTTTCAGTCACAAAATAAAAACTCTGCTCTCATATAATATAGAGTTATAATTTATTCAAAGTTGGTAAACATGAGGTTCTGGAGTTTATGAATATATTTTTTTTTTCTCTCACTAGCTAATCACCTATGCAATATGAATGTGCTATAGCAGCGAGAGAGCAATCGCAAGGGAACAACATCAAGTTCTGAACAGGAAGGACCCAAAACACCAGATCCTAAGGTTAATTACTCTTAATTTAATTTCATCATTTTTTCCCCCTTCCCTTTTGTTGTTGTTGTTGTTGTTGTTGAGTTTTTGATGATAATTAAAGCTGAATACGTGCTATTAAAACGTTATGCACAGACACTGAGAAGACTTGCTCAGAATAGAGAGGCAGCAAGGAAAAGCAGGCTTAGGAAAAAGGTGCAGTTCTATTATTTTACACATTTTAGGCAATACTTGTCAAAGGTCTCTCTTATTTAAGATTTTGAGATATATAACAATTTTATTTGTGCCCCTCTTTCTCTTTCTTTTTTTCTCAGGCGTATGTTCAGCAACTAGAGTCAAGTAGGATTAAGCTTAATCAGCTAGAACAAGAGTTACAGCGTGCTAGATCTCAAGTAAGGAAGAAACCTCTTCTTTTCCGCATAGATTTAGTGCTATAGATAGATAGGCATAACATGGTACCACTAACTTTGCAATGCAACTTCAAATATCAATGCCATTTACAAGTAATGCTGTGTTTCTATTTTAGGGCATAATCATGGGAGGAGGTGCAGTTTTGGGAGGGGAGCAAGGCCTTCCTCTCACTATGGGTAGCATTAGCTCAGGTATCTTCTGAGGCTCATAAAACAATTATATCTATATATACTATATTGCTGTATAAAGAGTGAAGCTGGAGCAGTGATAAAATTATTCCTTCACAATTGAAAGATCACGAGTTCGAATCTAGAAAATAGTCTAATTACAAATATGCAAGGATAAGGCCATGTACAAGAATTATTCTTACATCTTTCCTCGCTAGTAGGGGTTTAATGTGGAGTGATATATGCTATATTGTTATGTGCCGGGATTATTCTCTTGAACTAACCAATATGATTTTCGCTTATGTGTTACATTTTTGTGAATCAATAGCAGAGGCTGCAATGTTTGACATGGAATATGCGAGATGGTTAGATGAGCACCATCGTCTAGTGTGTGAGCTAAGAGCTGCAATCCAAGAACACCTTCATGAAAATGAGCTTAGGCTATTTGTGGATAATATCTTGGCTCATTATGATCAAGTAATGAACCTCAAAAGCTTAGTGGCCAAAACAGATGTGTTTCACCTTGTTTTTGGCATGTGGAAGACGCCAGCTGAACGTTGCTTCATGTGGATCGGTGGGTTTAGGCCATCTGAACTCATTAAGGTATGTAAAACTTTAACCAAACCTAGCTTATAGAAAATGCCATCTACATGTCCCACTCAAACATTTTGTGACAACTAGATGACAAATCACCAAGAAAAACATGTAGTTTCTAACTTCTATGAGCAGGACAATGACTAGTTATCAATGGGGATTTCAATTTCTCATACTTTTCTTTTCAAAATTTCGTCCTCTTTGTATTTTTTTTATGACTTTAAAATTATATTTTGGGTTCTTTGGTGATTGTTTTTAGATAACTTCTTATTTAAGAAGTTGATTTCATAAAAATGCATTAACTCAGTTTGTCGGTGAGGCTACCAAATAAAATTTGATGGCAATGAATTTAATGTCATCAATGAATTTGGAATCAAAGGTATCATGAAGGTTTCCGGAAATAGGTAGAGTTAGGCTTCATTCCCATAAAGCCATACCTTTCACTTCAATTTTGGGTTGGAATCAATAGACCGATTAAAAAAGTAAAGAGAAGGAAAGTGGCACGGGTCTATATCTCTCGTTGTCTTCTTTCTCATTGTTGTTGATGGGAATAAAGGTCCAATTTCCATACCTACCTCTTCTTCGTATTATAGTTAATCAGTAAACAACCTCTCATTGACCATAAAATTGTATAATACACATGTACCAAAGGAACCTAATTCGTACACCAACCTAAGCATTTTGTATATTTTTTTGGGGGGTTGAAATATATATGTTTTATTGATAACTAATTTGTGTTTTAGATTATTCTAAGCCAAATTGAGCCTCTTACGGAGCAACAAATACTTGGGATATGTGGGTTGCAACAATCAACCCAAGAGGCAGAAGAAGCTCTTTCTCAAGGGCTTGAAGCACTCAATCAATCACTCTTAGACACTATAACATCAGATTCATTGAGTTTTCCTCCAAATATGGCTAACTACATGGGACAAATGGCGGTGGCCATGAACAAGCTCTCTACCCTTGAAGGTTTTGTGAGACAGGTACGTTATACGCTTTGACTAAACTTATTCTTCTCTTAACTTTTAAATAATTAAGTGCATATAAATTTTCCATACAAAAAAAAAAAAAAAAAAAAATTAATGTCAATCAATGCATGTTGAATTTGTGGTGGTGATTTAATTTGAATAAGAACTTGTGTGATATATCGTATGATTTTCGTTAACTAGTTTTGTGGTCCCTCTCGGTATTACCAAGTTTCCATAACTGATCTCGTGGGGGTCAGGTAGGAACAAGAATCTGTTCCTCTTCAATATGGATACGGAGACCAACTCCAACCCTGTCATGAACTACTACTTGCATGCATGTCTTACTCTCATGAGGTAGTTACATGGAATCTGCATAACATAGATTATAAAATCTGCCTCTCATTTTGATATTAGGTATGGGGGGTTCGCAGTTTTTAATTTTCTCGAAAAATAACTCTCTCTTTTTATACAATGATGGTATTGAAATTCAAACCTATGATTTCATTCAAGTTATTCATATCCCTCACAATTAGACCAATTTCAGTAGCTTCTCAAAAAGGACTCTTGTAACACGTACACACAATGAGAGAGAGAGAGAGAGATACTAACTAACTTTATTGAGGATAATTAAATGCAACCAAAATAGGAAAATTATTTTCCATTTTTAGTTATTGTTAATTGTGATTAAATACGAAGAATTATATGTCACAAAAAAGATTGGATAAAGTTTAGTACTTAATTATACTAAGAAAAGCTTTGCAAAGGTATCATAATAAGGACAGGCAGCACGGGATTTAAGGTTACTATAAATTTATGAGGATATTGATATCATTGCATTTAACATTGAATACCTAAGGTTACTAAAAATCAACAGGTATGCCATTGATCATGTACATGTGAGACTAAGGTAGATTAGTGGTCCCTTACTGATATATAATCACATCCAAAGATACCTTGTGAACCCCATATCTGTATGATGTCATGGTCGTAACCGTAACTTGAAGACACGACATGTAGCCTTCACCGTAACTTGCTTTTTGGTTATTTCTAAAATCATAAACACGCATATATATATTTATTATGACCCATAGTTAGTATATCATATTGTGGCTTTGCTTATTTATTTTGGTGAGATGAAACTCTTCAATTTTTACTTCATTTCTTTATATTACATACGGAATGGATTTTACAAGTAGAATTAGTTGAATTATTCAAAATTATTTTATAAAAAATGTGGTCATACTATGCTATATATAGTTTAATCTACCAAAAATCTGTAAGTATGAACATCTTAGATCCAAAATTTTCCACTAGATATCCCATCAAATTTGATGGAGTTAGTTGACTTCATTGGTAAGATGTCCTAATTTCTTTGTGAATTTCATGTTAAGGTCGGTTCACCAACTATGCTTAATTTCTATGGGTGAATAATTAATTTTAATTACTAATCCCCAATAATACATTTGAATCTGTTTTAAGTAACCAATCAAAACAATAAGCAACATAAACTAGAGGAATCCTTAGGTAGACAAGATTATCATAATGATTATATGAATTTATCTCAAGCAATTTTTCCCATTAATTAATCTGTAAGCTCCTCTTGTCTCAATTTGACCAATTTGTAGTTTTTATCTAGCTAAGACTCAAATTTTGTTGTCTTCTCATGCTGTTCACAATTTTGTCCCTTAATTAAAAATTACTAATTGATTAAATAAAAAATTATATCTCTCTTTAGTGTTGTATTTTCTTAGTTGGCAGTATTTTTTGTGTGGCTAAATTAATAATAATTAATTGTGGGCATGAAAAAAAAATAAAAAAGAAATTTTTTTTTGAAGATTTGATTGTTTTTCTAGTAATAACCACAAAGTTGACTTGAAATTCCTCGTGTGAGATGGTTCAAAGTTTACTGTGACCGTAACCATCATTCTTCTTGTTGCCATTCTGGATTCAGAAACCCAATGGTTGAAGGTATTGTCACCATTTTGAAAAAAAAAAAACCTGCCTCTTTGAAGATGTTTTCATCGAGCCTACATTTAATGAAAGAGGACCCAATCCAATGTTTCCCTTATGCTAAAATATCTCTATATAGATTTCAATTAAATATGTTACAAAATTTTGACTAGCTAAAATCCGTTATAATTCATCAATAAATCGGTGGGAATATAGTTTGCAAGTCTGGTTCATGTTTCAAAACTGGACTGAGAAAAATAATTTCTTTTTTTTTTTAAAATAAAATAAAATAAAATTTCTCTATAGGTTCATAGATTAATCAGGTAAGATTATGATGGAGACAAAATTTTTCCTATCAAATTTTTAACACACTATATATCTAAAATTTAAATCACAGTTTTAAGTAAGAACAACCCCATAACAATTAATCCACGTGTTTGACGATATTCTTCCAACCTTGTAAAATATTTATGTGGTCATTGGCTCCTAAAGTCCAGCGAGCTGATAATGTTATTAATTGCTATGTGATGTGTGACTATAATCATTAATTTTTTTTCAGCTAAAGCTACTTGTTACATGTTGATATTCTACTAATATAAAAGTATACTCCTATTTAATTTTTTGTATTGACTAAGAATTTGATAAGCAAAAATTGGAAATTGATGAAATTGTCTGAAAACTTACAGGCAGATAATCTGAGGCACCAAACCATTCTCCGCCTGCATCAGCTACTTACAACACGTCAAGCCGCAAGGTGTTTGGTGGCCATGTCTGAGTACTTTCATCGTCTAAGAGCCCTGAGCTCTCTATGGATGACACGCCCTCGCCAAGAATAGTGAGTGGTAGTGCCACATTTCATAGCTTCTAAGCTATAGCTAGTTAGATTTTTATATGGCCATGTAGCTTCTTAATTTCTCTTAAATTACAAATTGAATATTCTCTTTTACTATAGCTACCCTCTTTTCTCTGTCTTTCCCACTTGATGATATAGATAGACACATAATTAATATAGAACTAAAAATAGAAGTGAATTGTGATAAAAATTCAGAAAATTATTTGGCAGCCATTCTTGACTGTGAAAGAAATGGAAGGAGGAGAGAAAAATTAATAAAATGGTGAAGAATGGAAGTGCAAATTTTTTTAATTTATAAGACAAGGTTCTCGTTTGCTTAATGCTTAGCCCATGTGGCCTTGAATGGTTGCATGCGTAGGTTGTTGAGTTAGTTTCTTGTAAGGTTGGCTGAGAGAAATTTTAATTGATGAAAAAGAATTTTTTTAATTCAAACTATTTGTTTTTTTCTTAATTCTTAAATTATATAATTAAGTATGATAACATTGATAAATATCATAAATGGTTTTGCCATTAAACAGACTGTAGACTGTCTCATTGTTACATATATACAATTATCTTTCTTTTCAAATAGTAAAGGTTAAATGATAAGAATTTTCCTTTTGTTTAAAAAATAAAATAGTAAAATTTGTCATTTTTTTTTTTGGCAATTTGAAATGTTATTGCATATAATTTTTTTCTTGACAGGTCTTTTTGACTCCATAATTTATTTTTTTAGTAATAATAACTTTAGGATATGTTTGAATGGAGAGTTATGTTTTCAATTGTTGATTGAGTTTAATTTTAACGTAGCTAGTCACTATACAAAATGTTTTATATTATTATGCGTTGCCACATTATTTTATGAGTTTAATAACACACAAACTCATGGTGTTGTAATACATCATTAAATTACTATATAATTTTTTTACATTAATAATACAGACGAATTAAATTCTTAGATTTAGCCTTTTTCTTATTGGGTCCTACAATTCTTTTAAACTAAGCAAACATTTTAGACATCTATTCTTCTAATTGGCTGGCTAACCATAAAACTAAAGATATTTGTCCAACTATAGGGTGTCACTGTTCATCGTGAGGAAGTGTCTATTTTTACAAGACTAATTATCGATCCAAACGCATAATTTTACAAATGGAGATTGCATCTATTCAACTTCTTGGCATTTTAATTTTTTTGTAATTTTGAAATAATTTATTCAAACACAACCTAAAATAATATTCTCAACAATTATATATACGTTTTAATTCAAGATTTGTTAAATTTAATGAAACTGCCTATATAATTAAACAGATTAAGTCTTATATATTCATTAATATTGGACCGAGTGTGGTTACCTCCAAAGTACGTATTTAAAACCTTCTCTAAGCAAACACCCTGTCCCAGAAGGTTTGGGGAAATTGTGGTACAGGATTTGATGCTCAAAGGTTTATACGTTCAAAACCTTAAGAATATGTTCACTTACATTGTCAAAGGTCAATAGACAAAAAAGTTGTTTGTGATTAATGATTCAAACATAAAATTCTCTATAACCAACCGATAGTTCTTCACTGCTTAGTAATCCCAAAGGAATTTTTCGGCAAACAAGGGCAGTAATTGAGGCTTATAGTATAACATAAAATAAAAAAATGATAATGAAGTATTTGACTTATTTCAAATAAAAAAAATATTTGACTTATTTTTTGCTTAATCAATGTAGTAGATGACAAGTTGTAATCAAAGGATCTAGACATTTTGGTAGTGCATATGGTTTGAATCACACATGAAAAATAATACAATCATCACTGAATTGGTGTTGCTTAATCAATGTAACTTCCAAGTAGCTGTCAAGAGAGGTAGGTATGCTATTTCAGGTTTTGTTTTCTATATAAGGCCTTTTCAGTGTAGTAGTTGGCCTTGATTTTTTATTTTTTATTTATATATGTGACTGGCTATATTAGTCGTTAGAGTTTTATGTAGTTCTTTAACACTAATAATGTTGGTTCAAAGAATGGTTTTAATTGGGGGAACCTTATCTAACGTTTGTTTTTTGTTTTAGGTGTTTACTATCTTCCTCTTGGTCTTGGATGGAGTTAGTACTAATTGTTCTTGATAAAGTTTTTTATTTTATGGTCATAGGAAGTTTAATCCATACGGAGGTGGTTCTTTTCTTATTTTACTGTGAGTTCAAGCAATTAAATCCTAACATTGTACAAACTTCTTGATTGCTAAGAAAACACTCTAATAATATAAATCATATAAATTAGTCAATACAAATTCAATGAAAGTTGCAATTTAAAATGAGACTGTGACTTTATATATGAGGGATGTAGGTTCAACCCTTCTCTTCACATTAAACAAAATATCTCCAACAACTATTGTGTAGCTGCCTGAATATTTATAAAAAAATTTAAGAAACATATTAAACAGAGCTTAGTTCAATTTTGGCAAAAACAAAATGTTGATTTCACTAGATTTTGGTTGGATTGTATCACACTTTACCGTTTAGACTTTCATTTTTCTTTTAATAAAAAAAAAATGGGTCATAATATTTTATTTGTTTGTTTGTTCTTTCTTTTTTCTTTTGTGGTTTCCTGAACCAAAAACGTGATAAAGATATTCAATCCGCTACGGGTAACCATTTACATATAGTAGGAATTGCTTGAGTGAGGCCCAATAATACTTTTTAATTTAATATATTCTTTATGGGCCATTTAGATTCATGTATGCAAGTTTAATGTTTAGGCCCCGCTAAGGAGCTTATAGAGTCATATGGGTGAATTTCCTGACCCAAGAAGCAACCATCTCCATATGTTCCTCATGACCAAAGAGGACAATAAAAAGGTTTAATTCTAAGTTAAGAAAATATTGACATGTCATAATATCATTTTTTAATAAAAATTAAAGAATCGTTAATAATTTATTCACATAATGTACAAAAGTCGGGTACTCTATGTTTATAAAAAAATTCTCTCCCATATGATTTAATGGGGCATTGGTAGAGGATAAATTTTTTTAAATTCAAGAAATAATTATTACCGAAATACAGTGGAAACTATATGCTTTCTGGAATATTAATAAAAGATGTTTGATATGGTAAAATTTTCTTTGAAATTTATGGTTAATTTTACTAAATGTGTGTTTAGTTAATTGTGAAATATTAGTTGGAAAGAGATGTTGTTTTACGAAATTAACTTCAGGTTTACGCTTTTTTTTTTTTTTTTGACAAAGAAAAGGGTTTGGTGTGAGATACATTCATTAAGAAAGAGATAGTTTTGAAATAACGTGGTCGACATATCTGGTAAAATTTGCGAACCTGTGGTTTCCCGGAGGCCGCGTTTGTTGAGTCTGAAACAGTGACGGACTTAGCAAATTTTCTTTATGTTTGCACATTTAGGGCGAGGGTTTGGGGTGCTTCCCCTGATTTATTTTTTTTTAAAGATTATGATCATGGTCCAATTTTTGTTTCCCTTTCAAAAGTAAAGTTTCGGTGAATCAACCAAAGTTTTAAGTAAATAATCGTTAATGATAATTAAAAAAAAAATAAACACCACAAAAGGATATTGGTAAAATATAGTATAATTGTAGAGGTTAATCGATCAAAAACTCACATTTGTCTATGTCTATTTGATCCAAAATTGACCACTTTTGTTTCACAAAAAAAGTGAAAAATCTCGTATGATTCTCATCCATTTGATAAAGATTGAATTTCAGAAATTGTTGATGTCTATTAAGATTTAGAGCTAATAAATTTTATGTAAAAAAAAAAAAGACAAAGCAATGGACTAGGATTTAAGCTTTAAGTTTTTAATTGTAGGAATTGGGTCTATTTTTACATTTTTTCTTTCAATCTTCTTATTCTATTTTATTTTAATTTTTTTTTTACTTGAATCACACTTTCTATGTAAATTTTTTTTTCCACCTAACTTTGTGTCTGCAGTTGACAACTGCAACAACTTCGGTGTGCCATTGGTCTGAAGTGTGGTCTTCGTCGACGGACAAGCCAAATATAATAAAGCAAACGAACAGGTACAGTCCTCTGTTCTAGTTGTCTGCAAGCCGTGCTTCTTTCATGTTTTCGTTCAAATTATGTATGCTTCTTGTGGAATCATTTACGGTGATATGAAGGAACCAAATTTTCTTTTGATTTCACATCTTTCGAGCTTGAAGGAACCATATGTGCTTAAGCTTGATTCCCCTTTTTTCCCATTTCATTCCCCTTTGTTCTTTCTTCAGGTTTGGTAATTGTTTCTTTTTCTACTCAATTTCCTTTTCTTTCTTTTTTTTCATTTTTGTAAATACTTTTTGGTTTGTCAATCCATCTATTATTTTGGTTTACTGTTACCATTTCTTTCGATGGTTATCTTATCAAACTGAGTGTGGGTTGCTGTCATCTTCTTTATCTTCCTCAATTGGGTTCTTTACTCCCCCAAAAGTAAATTGTTTCGTGTCTAACTATGCTTGTTTCATTGTAGCAGTGAGCTTTACTTAATTGCTAATTTTATACTTCTTTATTTATTTGATAATTTATGCACGGATCTAGTTGAGCTCTTACATTAGTGGGAGATTTTATCCTTTATGTTAGATTTCATCCCCTTCTCCTTTCTTATGCTGATATATAAAACTTCTGATGGTTGCCTTCGTTTAGTCCTCCAAATGTACAGATTTTCTTCCCTAAATTGAGCTGATTTCACTTTGTTGCTGCAGACTTCTGACCTTCCTATTTAGTAATTTTTCAGTGGATCGGTGTTGGGACAAGATGTGTACACTCTACCACCATACCTTCTGATGTGTAGTTCGATAAATCCCAAGCTTCGACGGTGGACAAGATCTTCCCGCGGATATGTTATGCAGTGTACGCAAAGTTTCAGTTGCCTTTAAAGAGGTTTATGGTGCGTACCAAAATGAAGGATAATTTCATGAATATTCGCGCGTCCCATTTTCTATTTCCCCCGAATCGAAAGAGTTCCATCTTATGAATGGAGTTTCAGATTTGTTTTATGTACTTACATTACACATAACAAGCTTTGCCGAGATAACTTTAAACACTGGATTTTTTTCATTTTATGCGAACCAAACACGGGATTCATTTATGTCATAGCATGCTATCCCGGAGAAAGATAAAAAAACCGGGTACCAAAGGCCCCTAAACATTTTTACTGTCAGCTTCTAAGGAACTTGATTTTGATACTTTAATGGTGTACATACAAATTAATCCTTTATATGGTATTGAAAGTTCTGCCATCCAAAAATATAAAGTTCGATTTATTCACACTTCAATCCTACAAGATTTTGACGTAATTAAGAAATAAAATAATAAATATCCGTTTAACATTTTGGTTCATTTAATTTTTACATTATGTCTTAGGGTCTGATTGAAGCACCTGATAAAGAAGATAAGATAGGATAACTTATCATATCTTACTTTTATCTCTTGTTTGGTGGGTCAATAACATATGATTAGTTTATCCTATTGTCTCATTTTATTCTATCCAATACATGATTTCTTATCCTATGGGAGGACGTAGGTTAGGATTCAACAAGATAGGATATCAATATTGGATACACAATATATCCCCACGCTACCCAATATATTCCCATGCTATCCAATATATTTGTATTTATTGCATTATATTTTATTTTTTCTTTCTCCTTTCTCCTTTTACGTAATCTTATCAGATTGCTAATCAGGTGCTTATCAAACACAGGACATGATATAAGCTTATCAGCTCCATATCATATCCTACTCTTATCCTATATTGTACACACCAAACGATGGTGTCATAGCTTCAGTTATAGATATGTAGTTTGTACAGTTAATAAATTAGAAGATTTGGATCTGCATAAAAAGTAAACTACAGTGCCGAGTTTATCAAACATTACATGTATCAGTAACACATACTCGTTATTAGAAGCAAAAATGTTACGAATTGATACATAACTTTATGTTACGGACAAGCTAGTCCCGCATAACACAAGAATTAAAAATTTGATGACAAGAAGAAAACCCATGATAACTGTGTACCCAACAAAAACTAAAGAATCAAAAGAACTGCATGTTATTTCTCTTTGCTTTCATTTGGAGCCTCAAAGCATGCTATCAGCACGAGAAGGCAACCTCTTGAAGAAATTACTAGGCACAGTTGGTAGCTTGCTACGGAACCTTGGGTGCCTAAGCCAGAAAATGCCAACAACTGAAGCAACAATCTTGAAAGGTGTTACATATAATGCCACAGCAGCAATGAGGCAGAAAATCACAAAGAGAAATGATGCTCTTGGGTCTCTCCAACTTAACAGTGCATGAAATCTCTCACCTTGTGTGGCAATGTCTCCCACCACAGTTTGTATTTTTCCTCCCACACTTCTTAGCTTATCATACCTCATTCTTATCACATCCTGAGCCTTGGAAGTAGGGAAAGTATCAAACTCTTCATCAAGTTCATCAGGGAGTGCTGCTTCTGCGCATGAGAGCTTAGTATCCATATGAGGAGGGTGCCTTGGCCTTAACCGAAAATTCCATATTCCAATGAGAAACATGTAGAGGAAAATAGTTGGGAGGATCAGTTCAGGATAGGATATTAAGATGAAAAACAAAACATGAACTAGAATTGTAGTCACTGGGTTCTTCCACTTTTGCACCTCACCAAGCCACTTGCTCATAGATATTAAACCTGAAAACAGTGACACAATTCTGAAGAAATTGGCTTTGCTTCTTCTAAAACTCCATATATGAGAGTCCACATCCAACATATATTCAACAACCTCCTTCCTCAGGGGTGGCTCTGCCCTCCCAAGCCTTACTGCTACAATGTTCGTAGCCTGATATCTCAAGTTATCTAACTGACTCACAGTGAATGGATGCAAGTAGTGCATTTTTGGTAATAAAGGGTGCCCATAAAGGTAAATTATGTGAGCAAAGGAGAGACATGTAAAACGAATAGCCAATTGAAGTTCTCCCATCTTCTTCAATCCAGAGGAACGCAGAACAAGTAGAGGGTAGGAGTTAGTATAAATTCTATCCATTTCCAAAGTTGACAAACGAATTCTTACCTTCCCAATTCTTGAGTCAATTTTTGCTCCACTTCCAGAAGTACTTTGCTGAGAACCTCCACCCAAATGACAATTGTCAAAAACTCCAAAAGTTATGACAGTGCAAGGATCATACACTTCCCATGTATATTGCTCATTCCATTTTGGATTAAAGCTTTCAGTGACTGTTCTAGTTCTAACCCACTTCTGTCCATACTTTGCCACACAATAAGCATCTGTGGAACTCTTTCCATCGCTTGTCTTCATAGGTTGGAGGCCTTGAGCACTCAATATTCCCACTTCAAGAATCCCAATTGGTTGTTTCCATAGTTGTCTAGCAGTTGGCCTTGTATCACTAATATACATTGTTGATTCATCAAGGACATGATAAGCACCTTCAAGACAAACTCTAAGGTGAATTCTAGTTGAGAATTTGTGTTCATTCCTCTTGTCACCCTCTAGAACACCAAATCCAAACCTTTCAACATTGTACCAACGTGAGTGTATTGGGCGGTGATCCAAACGAATCTCAAATTTGTTCAGTGGCAAGCTTATTCTCCCCACAACTTCATCTTTTGCAGGTGTGGACTTGTTTTCCACTGTGAGCACAAGCTGTTCTTCAAAGGGTTCTGCTGCTACAAACACCAGATCTTCATTCCACATTGGATTACGGGTTTTTGTTGGGCATAGCTTAGTCTTAAGCACGTGTTGTCCAACTTGAGCCTTTACAAACACTTGGGCTGGTTGGCTTTTATCCTGTGGCTCCACATCTTGAGCTTCAATAACATTAACTCTAAGATACCATAATTTTGGGTTAACATAAACCTTTGATCTAATATTATAAACTCCCTCTCCTTTAACTGTTGCAGAATCTGAATGCCAAGCTTCTGGAAATGCTTCATCAGCTTGTGTTCCAATCCAAACTGCTAGCATAACTTCTCCTCTCACCTTGATTCCTCCACTCTTTTTCTCTAGTCTATACCACTGAGGAGCCAAGGGGCTATCTGGTGGAACCCTTGTTGGTACTTCATGCATGTCAAATTCCACTTTTCCAATGTGCTCATCTCTAGTCACCCTTTCTTTGTATTTAACTTTTACTTCAACAACTGAAGACTGTACCTTGTCCTTCGAGAATGCAAAAACCTGCTTCCACTCAGGGTTGGTCTTTTTCTCAAAATGTCTTGTTTTTCCCTTGTAATTACCAACCTTTACTACAACATAAGGGTCAACGTTTCCTGTGACAGGATTTGGTGGTAGGTCTTTGGCCTTCTCAACACGAACATAGAGGTAGAACATTTGTTCCACAAGGTCATAAGTGCTCGTAGCCCTTTCACTATAAATCCAACCTGTGCCACCACGTTGTCCTCCATGTGGCCAACGTTCTCCAAGCTCTGGCTTTGTGTCTTTCAACTTGTAATCGTCTTGGTTTGGCTTAGGAGCAGCTTGAGTACTCATTGTGCCTAGTTTGAAAGCTTCACCTTTCAACTTTTTTCTTGTTGCATAACCTCTACTTTTATGTGTCTTGCGCTGAAATGATCTTTAACGTTGCAACTTCTATTAGAACCAGCTGAAGTATCTTTTCACAATTGTTGTTGCTCTAACACCTAGAATAACAACAATTAGTTAATGAAAATTAGATAAAGACAGAGAATTTGTACCCTCTTGAAAATTGAGATGTGAGACTTAATTTTTGTCACCTTTAACATGAAGGGGGTCTTAATTTAGAAGTTGATATCGTTAGTGATCCTCACTCCTTTGTTGCTTATTGACTCTACATTTTAACTTTTTATTTTGAGCATTTACCTCCTCCAATAAAACATAAAAAAAGTTAAAGGTGTTATAAGTTTACTTTACCGTTCCTTGAGCATGATTTGTACCCTCTTATTTTGTCTACTGAAAACAGAGTTGCCAGAGCTATCTTTTAAAAATTAAACAGATGATCTATTATTTGTATAAAACACTTTTATACTAAAGTTTTTCAATGCCTTTTGTCAACACAACCAGGTAAGGAGAATAAATACTACTCCAATGCTATATAAACAATAGCCATTAGTAATCCAACCTTGTGAGCATTTAATATTAATTAGGGCGTTCAAAATTAACCAACAATTTACTAACCTAAACAATTTGACCATCGCCATCACCACAATCCAGTTAGTTGCTTGTATGATTGAAAGCCTGTACAGTAATAATTGGAATGATTCAGTTTCCTCAAGCCATCTTGCCTAACAAAATGAAAACTTATAAGCAATAATAAATTGTAGAAAAATTGCATAGAATCAGTTAAAATTGTAACAGCCAAGTAATCATTACCACATTGGCAAAAAGTATGTACAGATGTTTTATATTTTCATATAAATTGAGTTTAAAATTATAATTCAATAAAATATGTTCGATATTTCAAAAAGCTTTTACTACTATGATGTATTCAATATATATATATATATATATATATATATATATATATATATATATATATATATATATATATATAGGGATAGAATTCTTTGACACTGGTGTCAAACTAACAAGTTTGACATCAAATTATAACTGTTGATTTCCGTCAAATGACGTTTATAATTTATTGAGAATTACTAGTTAATTAGTAAATATGACCAAATAAATTATAACCTTCAGATTGAAAGAAATCAACGACTAGGATTTAGTGTCAAACTTTTTGGTTTGATACCAATATCAAAGGATTCTGCCCAATATATATATATAAAAGGTAGGATCCTTTGACATCAGTGTTAAATTTAAAATTTGATACCTTATCTGAAAGCCGTTAGATCAAAACAGATCAACGACTCTGATTTGTAAACATGTGACACCATCGATTTTTTTTTATCTAATAGCTATCAGATAAAGGATCCTACATATATATATATATATATATATATATATATATATATATATATATATATTGACAAAGGATAAAAATTAAGAAAACACTTATATCAATGGGTGAACAATACATAGAACATCTATAATAGCCCATCTTAATTAATTAGTAAATCAAGTGTAATTAATTAATTAAACATGTTTTAGTGAGTGAAATTAAGTATAAGGCTTAATTAAATGAATCTGAGTCACCTTGGAGTTAAAAAGTGTACTCAGTAAAAATTAAGGGGTATAAATGGGTACTGGCAAAAGTACCCAAAATATAAAAATAAAAATAGTAATATTCCTAGAATAATATTCCAGACTTTTGGGTAAAGTTTGGTAATTATTGGAGTTGAATAGATAGACGAACCAATACCCACATGTTACCACTTAACCAATGTTAAGTGGTAAAACACCAAAAAGAACCCCTCATTTCCCACCCAACCCGTCGAACCAGAAAGGAGAAGAGAAGAGAGGGAGAAGAGAGGGAAGAAGAAAAGGGAAAGAGAGAGAGAGAGAGAGCAAATCCCAACGGTTTTGGGTGATTCAAAAGCCTAAATCGCTTAGAATCTCGCCCTCTTTCATAATCCTTGCTTTGTTTTGAGTGGGGAGCATTGTGGAGAGAGATATTACCTCTCAAAAATTCGGCCCTTTGGTGAAAATTGGGGTTTTGAGAGTTTCTACCTCCATTGAAGCTTGAGGAGCCATCAATCCTTGGTTGTGTGACCATTGGTAGTAAGATTCTAACCCTTGAACCTCATGATTCCTTGAAATTTGCATGAGTTAGGGTTTATGAATAGTAAATTGGGATTTTGGTGAAATGTAGTTGAATTGACTATGTTCTAGGAAGATTTAAGCTTAGAGCATGTTGTGAAAAATGCTAGGAACGTCATTTAATCGGTGGAAATGAGCCTAGATAGTCATTTGATAATTGTTCATAATATTGGAAAATTCATGCTTGGATTGGTTAGTATTCTAGCATGTTGAACAATTAGTGAGTTGAATGATTGATTGTGTCCTTGTGATGTCTAGGATTGAGACATTTGGACCAACCGTGAGTGATCAACCATTGGAGCAAGCTATGGAGCTTGATTAGCTCCATTGGATAGGTGAGTTCATGCTTATGTTTGGTATGAATTGTATAGCTTGGTTGATAGCTATGAGATGTTATTGGATGCAATATGTGTTGATTGCATTACACCATGTGTAGGTGTATGTTTGTAAAAGTTGATTGCTGAAACTGTTGGTGAAGAACAAAGGTTGACTGAAGCATTGAGGTAAGCCTTCGGACCTTGGGTGTAATTCCCTTGACTGTTCTACCAAGCCCTGAAAGGGTGGAGGTTGTGATTGTGTATATAAATGCAATAAAATAGTGTAATGCTTTGTTATACGTATGTGTATGCATTTGGTGTGGCATAGGATGGTGTTTCCCTATGTTGGTATGTGGCATGACGATGCGTAAATCATACTTGGTAGTTAGCTGGCCAGTAGGACTATTTGCATCTGAGTTTCCTTAGGACAGCTTGAGAGCTCGAGGGATTTCTCCTGGAGATGTATTGCACTTTGCATAGATATGTATTTACTGCATTATTATTGTTATTGCTATTACACTGATATGGAACTGTGGGGTGGAGAGATGCTCCAAGGACCCCTGGTATACTGGATATATTCGTATATCTCACCCCGTGTTGTGGGGACCCCCTTTCAGGTAAGGATGCTGCAGGAGCCTCTGGTGGCAAGTGGCCATATCTGGATTATGCATGAGATGTGGCATTCCTTTAAGTTTATGCATGCCTTTTGTAGTTGACATGTATAGGAGTTTATTTTGAAAGCCCTTGGTCATTTGTATGCCTTGATTCATTGAATGAACTTAGCCTATGCTCATGCCTTTGGTTACACCTTTTGTTGATGGGAGCCAAGGGAATGATCATAGTGTTTTGTAAGCTAAGTTCTATGATTTGTAAAGGATATGTAATGTAAATGATGCCTACTTGGAATTCAATATATGCATGCTTGTTATGTATTGAGTCGTTGAATTGGTCGGGCTGAAAATCAATTAGGTACCCTCTTCGTTAAACTGGTAAACGATGAGAAAACAAAGGTCATGCTGTCCAAATTCTAGCTAAATCTCATGAGGAGAGGTTGGATGAGTGCTAGGATTTAGTTTTGGGGCATGGACACTTGGGGTTTGTAATGGGGATGCATTTTCCCCTAGGCTTGGACTTGAGAAATGTGGGAATTGGAATTCCCTGGCAGCGCGCTTAAGCGCCCAGGAGCGCGCCCAAGCGCCCTGCTGCCCCTGCGAGTGCCAATGCATTCTGCCTCCTCGCGCTGGAGCGCCCAAGTGGGGGCTTAAGCGCCCAGGATTGCGCGCTGGAGCGCCCTGGTCCGCGCTTAAGCGCCCTTCGCCACTGAAGGAGGAGATGCTTCTGTCTCTGCGCGCTAAAACGTCCCAGTGGGAGCTTGAGCGCCCAGGCTAGCGCGCCTGAGTGCCCTGTTGCGCGCTTAAGCGCCCATCCACACTGGAAATGCTGATGCTTACTGCCTCCGTGCGCTTAAGCGCCCAGATGGAGGCTTTAGCGCCCGATAGCGCGCGCTTGAGCGCCCGGTAACGCGCTGAAGCGCGCTGGGCCTGTGACCAACACTCTCTTGTGTTGCTTCAAATGGTCCTAACTTGGGCTACCGTGCTCCGATTTGAGCACGGTTTGAAGCCACAGGTAGCTAATGAAGAAACCTACAATATAGTAGAAGTATTGAATTAAACAAGAAGTAAATTAATGGTTTAAAAATGGGAAATGAACATGATGTTAAGCTTAATTTATCTGTTTCCGCAAGGTAATATGGTTATGATCACGAAATTGGGTATTATAAGTTCGGTACGTTTTAAAATGAAAAAAATTATCCGGATTTTAATTGAACCCATGTGATTGTAACTGCGCTTAATATCATAATGCGATGTTAACAAACCGGTTCTAGAACGGGGTGTTACAACATCCATATCCTAAATCTCCTACATATGCATCTTTGGGGAGTCACAAGAAGGTTTAATTGTGATTAGTCTTCTAAACGGTTAAAAGAATCGAAGTTTATAGGAATACTCGGGAGATCGACTAGCCTCGAAGAGATAACTACAGTCAGTGTATCACAAAAAAAAAAATCTCCTACGTATGCAAACAATTAATAAGGCTTTTAATATTAAGAATTCTCATAATATAGATAGATGTAAGCATTTAAAATAATTCTCACAAATACACAGTTACAAAGGAAAAATGTCAAACCTTTTAACAGCAAAGAGAAATCCTTCAACATCTTTGTGGCTTCGAGATTAAGAATTGAGAGGGAACCGAGAAGATAGAAGTTGAGAGCTTAAAGAAATGAGTAGTAGTGTAAGGAAATAATATTGATGTGCTTTCTAAATGTGCTAGAGGAATATATGTAAACGCGGCGTTAATTAAAGTAGAGATAGGAAAAGGCACTTGTTGAAATTCCACAATTTTTTGTGAAGGGTGCTGCTATAGCTGATGCCACACTTGAGAAGACAAAGATAGTCTTTTTAGAATAAAATAGCGGGCTTTCCTAGATTATTTTGTCTCTCTTTCCATGATGGCATATTTTCTGGTTAAAGACCATGTAGCCCTCGTTCTATCTTGT